CAAAATATCTATAATGCCGGGTGGGGCAGGGCCGGCGTCTCACGAGTTCTCAGCCCTTACTTCGGATTCAACCTTGCAAATTTGAGGGGGATTAGCCTCCGTCGTTTCCCCCTCGGCTGCCACCCATTCCTCGGGGACAGATGGCTCATGGGCCACAAAGATTTCATCCTCCTCGGGCTCGTCTCTGAGCCGGAAGAGTGATTCCGATTCAAGCACTCGGGATTTGTAGGTTTCCTTCGGCATACGAACCAACCTCCTTCTCGTTTTCTTTTTCTCTGAGCTCGGGGAACTCGGGGCGCGCTTTTCCTTTTATTCTCCCCTGCCGTGGCTCCGGGTTGTCCCGAAGCGTAAGAATTGGTAGGTAAGTCCTCATCCCCAACCGGGGGCCTAAGATCGACGGTCTTAGGCAAACCTACAAAAGAGAAGTAAAGAAAAAATAATAAGAACGTAATGCTAAAAGAAGAAGCCTAACACAACCTACTCGGGAAAGGAATCTTACCATGGGAACGGGTCTCCCAACGGCCCTTCGAGAGTTTACTCCACGAGCACTCGAAGTAGGGCATCTGTGAGACAATACCTTCGACCTACTCCTTGAGTCGAGGGACAACATTTGGGACTCGAGCGACAGCTGCACCACCATGAATACCAATAAAAAAAAGAGATATGAACACGAAATCAACATTCGAGGGAAAGTTTTACTTACGTGATGCATTCCACTTCTCGGGGAATGGTCTGAATTCGGCTGGGATAAAATCCGAGGTCCTCACCGGACAAAACGACCCTGCCAACCTTGATCCCGGTCCTCGTCGATGCTTGAAAATAGGGCTTTGCTGGTCCGATGTACAAACTTTATCAGTCTCCCCCGTAAGATTAGGGGATTGTATAAACAGAGCAGATGATCGATGGTGAAGATGCACGAATTGATTTTATTCACAAAACATCGGGGGAGGATCACGATCCTCCACAGTGAAGGGTGAATTTGGCCGAGGCATACGTTTCTTCCTACAAAAGTCTAAGATGACCGAGTCCACCGGGCCCAATGTAAAGGGATAAGTGTAAACACTCAGATATCCCTCGACATGGGTGGTAATGGACTCTTCGGAGTCGGGGACCACGATGTCCTTGTCGGCCCAGTTGCAGTCTTTTCGGACCGTGGGGAGGTCCTCTTCGGTGATTGAGCAAATGTATCTCGAGGCATCCTCACGCCGACCTTGTACCAAAGAAGGCTTCTTGACCTTGAGGTTGTCAGCGATCGAACAACACCCGGGAATGAACATCTTCAAGGGAGGTTCAGGAGCCGGTTCATTGGTAACCACGTTAGCAGCGGGTCTCCTGTTGTCGACCACATCGAAAGTAGTTTCGTTGGTTCCGACAGTCGTTTGGGAGGTAGAAACAACTTTTTGGGGAATAGATTTTGAGGTTTTTGCCATTATTATAGGGGAAACCTTGAAAAAGATAGAGAAAGGTTGAAAGTTGGAAGCTCAGATGCATTGGCTTGAGTGGATGATGAGTAAAGATTTCAAAGGAATCTCGAGTAACGGAGGTAAAAATGCTAGAATGTGAAAAAGAGTAGTGAAACCATGAGGGTACGAGGGTAGACAATTTGATGTAAAGTAAAAAATGAACAAAAGAGGGGTTATTTATAGTAGCTCCACGGCGTTTCGCCTCCAGGAAAAGCCAACCGGTGGCTGACGTGCATTTAATGCCATTATGACATGACTGACGAGACGTTTCAGGCTTTTTGTTGTTTATGTCACAGCGTATTGAAGAAGGAATCGGGGTGCTCATGTCGTTTCTCATCAGTTTACTCTCCGAGAAACGAGAGGACTATCTGTATACGGGTAAAAACCGAACCCATGATACACTCCGACCTCCAATAGGGTAAAACGACCTCGAGATATGATTGTGAAGGATCAGAATCGAAGCAAAGGTCTCATCGAGTCAGAATCCGATGGCACACTGTCTGCCTTTGAGAATATCGGGGTCATGATTCGAGATCGATCCAACACGACCAACAAAAGGTTGTAATATCGGCGACCGACCGAATATCACGATGTCAATCTCGGCACATATCGATGAAGAACTAACAATCAGTTAAACATGAGATTTTTTTACCTTTTATAGAGTTTTACTTAGAGTAGGATTCCCCTACTATATAAAGAGGGTCTGATAATTCATTAGGCACAATTTAACACACATTCCAAAGTAATATACTACTATTTTCGCTGTTATTGCAAGCTTTTTCTCTCGTTCGTCAATATTGTTCATTGTGAGCCCGGATCGAGGGTGAAAAAGTCACTAAGGTTGGAATCATCCTCCTCGCATGGTTTGAATTTACCGTATCTTTGCTTGTCCATTCTAACTCAATTTATCGTTTTGTATCAAATTAATCCATATATCCTTACAACCACTCACAAATTTAATTGTTATCCAATTTTGAAGGTAAACAATAACAACGAGACTAAGTAAAATAAATATATTTTCATGTATGTCGTGTACAACCCCATTGCTATAACTTTTTACAACTATCTATGGAGCCTCTATACCAAAGAATATAACTAAACATTTGGGCTAATGCTCGACTAACATAAATTAAGAAAATAACATAATAACTACCACTAAATAGGAGTGGTGCCTCACCATATATCTCACGAAGAGAGTCATCCTAGTTAGGGCCGTTCAAAATCGAACCGTAACCAAAAACCGATCTGTAAAATTATCTTATTGGTATCGGATTATCGTATTAACGGTTGGTAAACGGATTGAAATTTTATAATTAACGGTTTATCGGTTTGGGGGCGGATTATTCAATTTTCTTATTGGATAAACCGTTAACCCGTTAAGAATTTTTATATTTATATTTTTATCCCTATGTATATTAAATATCTCTTCCAATATTTAAAACCCTAAATCCCTAATTTCTAATTTTCCCAATCAGTTAGCACTCAGCAACATCATTCTCGCCAGTCTCTCCTCTTTCCTTTCAAATGGTTTAGAAACCAAAAAGGTTGTCTCCTTCAATTATTTTTATTACTAAAGAGTTCTTTAGAAGGTTTTGACAAAGTAGCAATTAGTGATTTCTGAAAACGGTTTGAATATTTAGGGCATGATAGTGTCATATAAACGGATTGAATTCAAGGTTTAAATTTAGTGATTTAATGTCAAGTGGTATATGCACTCATTGTCTATTTGATTTAGCCGATAAACCGTCCGATAATTGTTAAACCGATACGGATCCGTCGGATATCTTATCGGATGGGTAACGGATTAGTGTATTTACAAACCGATAACCAATAAGCCGAACCGTTAAGCGTAAATATCCGCACAATCCTCCCGATAAACAACCCTAATCCTAGTCATGTCCGCGTGCCACGTATCATACCTCATCCTGAAATATGTAAAGTAAGCGGAGCCCTGAAGAGTAGCCCTTGAGGGCTGAGTACACCACCACGGTACTTAATAAGTGTCATAGACTCTCTCTAACTCAAAAACTTGTCATACTAACAGCTTGTTTGGATGATTCTTACCTATACTATTGTATCGTATTGTTACTTTAAATATAATGTTTATTTTGATTGCTACTTAAATTTTAATGTATCGTATCATTAAATCAGTCGTTACGTAACGACGAAAAGTGTCACTTTATGTAACGACGGATTTGGTGTGGTGGCGTCGTAACCTTATTTATTTTTCTTATTTTCCCTTCTTTATTATTAAATAAACATATTTTATCCTTTACCCTATTTTTTTATATCATAATTCAACTTCGTCTCCTATTTTTTTTAGTAATATTGCAAGTTTATTCTTCATATTTTTGGTGCGTGACATTATGAAACGACGACAAACAGTACAATCTATCCAAACATTGCAATCATCAAATAATACAATACGATACATTATGAAACTATATGTAACAACTATCCAAACAAGCTGTAAATTGTAACTGATGTAATGGAATTTGCATATTAACCAAAATTAATTCCTATTAGGAATGACTTGAGCATTCAGCAAAGAGGAGGATGGCCTGGACTTCATTATGATTGGCATATTACCAAATGATCTTTTCTGAGCTGACTCTTATAATTTTGTCCCTTCAGGCTAAATTTAGTATTTTAAAAGTATTCGCATGAATTTTTTACTCTGTGGATAAATTTAGGTCACTAAATTAACGAGGGCAAACTTAAAAAGGTGTCTCAAAAAAGACTATTTCCGCCAATACGTAGTATAGCATGAAAACATCACTAATCCAAAGTGCAGCTAACGTCTATTAAAAGTGTAGCTAACGGGTCCATTCACTCCATAGTCGCATCCTAAAAGTTGGACACAATCACCGGCCAAGCCTTTCTTGCATTTAATTAATCCCACCATGATATTCGTATTTCGCACGTCCATTTATTTAAAATGCACCGTCGATCGTTTACATGTGTCGGAATCTAATCACCACCCGACATGCACGTAATTTTGAATACAAGTCAAAGGCGGGTCGAATTGGTCAAATATTAACCCATAATTAATTAAATCCATATAAACAAAACTCTCTGACCAATTAATGCATAAAACGACGGAACCCACCATGTGAGCAGGTTGTGGGTGTTGCGATGATGTTATCCTCAAAATTCAAAAAAACCAGTGGGCCCCATCAAGCGGCTCATGCACCTGCACAAACCAACCCAAACCCAAAGACGCTCTCACACGTGCCAACTTCACTCTTCAAAATTCAAAATCTTCTTTTGAGCGTCTCTAATTAATCGTCTCCCTTTTGGTTGGAAAATGTGACACTTTTCTTTTAATTATTTTTAAAAACATTATACAACAATTTAATTTTAATTTTTTTATAAAAACGTTATGGTATGTATTTCATAACAAGTTTCAAAAAGAAAGTTCTTAAAAAAAGTTTATATTCAATCAAATATGAAAATGGAACGGAGGAAATATTTGAAAATGTATTCAGATTTACTTGTACTTTTGACGGTGAAAAGATTTGAACAGTGAAATGAATCAGAACCGTTGAACTTTCATTTCATCTTCTAACTTCAAACCCTCTCTTTAATCGCTCCTCCTATTTGTCTGATACCACTCAGACACACATTCTATTCTTAATGCGAAACTAATCCGGTTATCGAACCATTGATTTCTATAAAAAAAAATAGAGAAAAGATCGAGTCTTTCTGCTGATTGATATTTTCTGGAGGTGTGAAAAAGAAGAGAGCGGCTTTAATCGGAGATTGAGTTACGATTTCTGTTCGGTAAATAGAGAGTGAAAACAAAAATGAATGCAGTAGGACGGCAAAGATCTGGAACGTCGACGGCGCATCACCAGCGGCAATACTCCGATAACTTCCTGGAGAACTCATCCAATGGCAGATGGCTTCAATCAGCTGGTCTTCAACATCTTCAAACTTCAAATACCTCTATTCCTCCTCCACAGGTTTCCGATACTTTCTACATTTTTTGTTTTCCTATTTTTTTGCCTTGTTTTTCAAGCTCACTGTTGCCCTAGCTCATAGATCTGAGAATCCAGTGTTTTTCTTCATTTGATTTTGTTATCGGTTATAGGATTATGGATACTATGGTGGAGCTCAAGGCTCGAGAATGTATAGAGGTGCACAGAGGACTTACAGCGGAGGAAGCGATCTCTTTGCGGAGCCTTTGACGCCGCCGGGTAATCCTCGACAGTCAAGCCAGCGGAGGAACGGTGATGAAGAAATATCTCCCAATGAGTTCAGTCCTGGACTCTTAGATCTACACTCATTGGATACTGAACTTCTACCTGAGGTTTGGTTTACAGATTCTGTATTCGTATTTTAAGGGGATTGGATGAACTAATTATTCTAATAATGCTATTGGATATCGCCATTGTTATGTCAGTGCAAGATGTGCAATTATTTTGCTGCTTTAGTAAGTTTTATATGATATGCTTTTGATTTGAGCTTCTCATTTTACAGTGCCACAAAATTCTTGTTCACTTTTATAAGTTTTACATGATTAGAGGTTCTTATTTTACAACGCCACCGATGTTGTTGCCATTTTGCCTGTTGATTTTCGGTTACTACAGTGGCAATTGGGCGTTAGAAACTCCAAGTTGACACACTTTGGCTCTTTGAGCTACATTTTATTATAGCATCATTTTGGTCAAACCCTAAACCACATATATCTGGATTTCGGCAGTTTGATGTATGTTAAAAACGTATGTCATTTTGGTCCTTGTTCCTTCCATTAGATCATTTACATAATGTTAGACTAGTTTTGATTGAAATTTTGTAGTTTTAACTCTGTATTTCCTTGTTTGGATTTCAAGTTCTCGTATGTTGACTTCCCATATATAGATGCCTGTTGCTGGCTTGTATGATGCTCCTTCCATGCATCATTTTGGTCGAGCAAAAAGCTTTGATGACTCGGAGCAATTCCTTGCAAACAACAAGCAAACTGGTCGAGTTCGGGGCTTACCAGAGAGTAATGTTTCTAAGAGTTTTGCTGTTGATAAAGAAAAGGCCAGCAATGTTGCAAAGATCAAAGTGGTGGTATGTTTTCCTCAACTCCATTACTTCTGGTTCTGGAGTCTAAACATTTTATTCTCAGTTTAGAGAGTGCAGAATACTTATTTTGTTAATGAATACAGCATATACACAATCCTTATTATGTGGTTTCAGTATCTTTTCTCTGGCACAGGAGTCAACCTTCTTTCATGTGTATTACACGTGAAAGAAGTTGTTAGTGCTTGTTCTAGTTGTTGTTCTAATGATTATCTACTTCCAGGTGCGTAAGCGACCACTAAACAAAAAGGAATTGGCAAAGACTGAGGAAGACATCGTTGAAACACGTTTCAACTCTCTAGTAGTTCATGAAACTAAACTCAAGGTTTGTGGAAATGCAAATGATTTATCCTGTATTAGCAGTTAAATATGTCTATCCCTTTACCTACAGTCTGGTGACAAGAACAAATACTTTCGTAACCAGCAATCTGAAAATCACTATTATCAAACAGTTAACCATGGTTGCCGGATGGAATTCATTTTTCTTGAATGCCAAACTTATGCAGTAAGATTAAGAATGTTGAGATCTGATTGTTTGCCATGATGATTGTTCCCTTTGTGTTTTGTAAATCTCCCTCCCATGTCATGTTGCTTCACTTTGCCCAAATTTTCCCTAAAACCCTTTTATGAATTAAGAGTTCTTACACCTGACTCATGTACAGGTTGATTTGACTCAGTATGTTGAGAAGCATGAGTTTGTCTTTGATGCTGTGCTAAATGAGGAGGTTTCAAATGATGAGGTGATTATATAATACAGGATTCTACATCAGACCCAAACTCTTAAGTGCATTCAGATCCTTGTTAACTTTGGTCTGCCACATGTCTCCTTAGGTATACCATGAAACAGTAGAGCCCATTGTCCCGATAATTTTCCAACGCACAAAAGCTACTTGCTTTGCATATGGGCAAACAGGTAAGCAACCTGCACTTGATCAGTATTTTTCATCTTTCACCGTTATTACTCTTGGTGCAAGCATTGTTGATATCATCTAGTTCCTTTTCCTGTTGATTGGCCTAACTGTGAAGAATAGTTGTTTGAATGAATTTGGATCTTGTAACAATTTGCTCAATTATCAGTGGTTTCCAATCTCTAGATGCGCTTTTCATCCGGGGTGAGTTTCTTATGAACACTTTCGATGATGTTGCCTTTAGACCCTCTGTATTGATTGATGCTAGTGATAATATTTTACACCTGTGTAATCATTTGTGGCTTTTCTTTGTTATTTTGATGATCAAACTCCTTTATCAATTAGTTGAAGATCACATGAACATTAATCGGGATATGTCAAACACCATCTAGTGGTGCACATTGAGGGAGTAGATGGATTTGGGTTACTATGAAGTTTTTGTACTCAAATTCTCTTATTGTAACAATTCCTCTCAAGTTACAAGTCATTTAGGTATAACATAATTGTGAGTTTAACATGATTAGAGGCTTCAAACCTCACAGCCCTGCAGAATGTGCAAACCCTAACTTATAAATGAAAAAGGGCCATCCTACATGCAATGGTAGATGCTCATTCTCCAGGGATCTAGGTCATAGCAAGTCTTCTAGTGTGTTTCATTCACGCAAATTCGACTTTTCTTCAGAACCATAAGAAAATATTAATCATCTGATGATGCAATTGCTGATAATAATAGCCTTAAGTTTTCAAATGTCTGCTTGCATTAGCTTCAAAATTTGTCTTCCAGTCATTTGACATGAATTTCAATATGGTTAGTGGCTGTCTGTTTTGGGTCATGTAAGCAATATCAGTTCACTATCTCAAGTGCAAGGTATAAGAAACAACCGATGCCTAGTCAATTTTTATTTTGTCATATGCAGATTTTGCAGCCTCTTCTAGAGGTCTTTGAGTGTGCTTCCAAGTTTTTTTTCTTCATAATAAATCTGGTGTCAACTTTCTGCATTTATCATACAAAGAAGCTTGGTTTTCTTGCTATTTTCTAAACACGAACTTCCCCTAAATTTCTTTTCGTCTTTGGCTTATTTAGGAAGTGGCAAAACGTATACCATGAAACCACTACCTCTGAGGGCATGTAGGGATCTTTTGAGGCTCATTCATCATACTTACCGGAACCAGGGCTTTCAATTGTTTTTCAGCTTTTTTGAGATATATGGAGGAAAGCTCTTTGATCTCCTTAATGATCGGAAGTAAGTGGTTCTGAATATTCCAACATTTAAGTGTTGTAGCTTTGGACTGAGGATAAATGAAACAAATTCTGTGCAGGAAACTTTGCATGAGAGAGGATGGTAAACAGCAAGTTTGTATAGTTGGATTGCAAGAATACAGAGTCTCAGATGTGGAGATGATTAAGGAGCTCATTGACAGAGGAAATGCAACTAGAAGTACTGGCACCACTGGTGCCAATGAGGAATCTTCCAGATCACATGCTATTCTCCAGCTTTCTGTTAAGAGGTCAGCTGATGGCAGTGAATCGAAACCTCCTCGTGTTATTGGAAAGCTCTCCTTCATAGACCTTGCAGGAAGTGAACGTGGTGCAGACACTACTGATAATGATAAGCAAACCAGGTGTGTATCTAATAAATTCCTGCCTCTTTTTTGTCCTTTAAGAAAATTTTGCTGTTAAATTCTTTTCGTTCTACCCTATTAACTTGTTTTCTGTTATGCAGAATCGAAGGAGCAGAGATTAATAAAAGTTTGCTGGCACTGAAGGAATGCATTAGAGCGCTGGACAATGACCAAAACCACATTCCTTTTAGAGGCAGTAAATTAACTGAAGTGCTGAGGGACTCTTTTGTTGGAAATAGTCGTACTGTTATGATATCTTGCATTTCCCCTAATGCAGGATCTTGTGAGCATACTTTAAATACATTAAGATATGCCGACAGGTAATTATTTGTTGAATTAGATTTTGTTCCCCCAGCTACTACTTTCTGCATTCATATAGTCTTACCTTTGCACTTTGCTTTAAATTTCAGGGTGAAGAGTCTCTCAAAAGGGAACAACTCAAAGAAGGACGTCTCATCCTCAACATTGAATCTGAAGGAGTCAACAAATTTATCTTTTTCTGCAGTTGTACCTTCTACATCAACATTTGAAGATGATACAGGTGATTCATGGCCTGAACAAACTGATAAAGATGAATATGATGAAGATTTCTATGAACAAGAGAAGTCTATGTGGAAGAAGAATGAGAAGCTTGACAGTTACAGCATCTCCAATTCAGAAGATAAAATGAAGAGAACAAATGTTCAGACAAAGTGGAAGGAGCCACCTAGAACAGAGGCAAAGTATTCAAACTCGGACGATGATCTGAATGCTCTCTTAAAGGTGGATCAATTTTGTGGAAATTTGAGAAGTTTCACTTAGCCTGAGTGGCCCTCTGATCACTTTATGTTTAATTTTTCAGGAAGAGGAAGATCTTGTGAATGCCCATCGGAAACAAGTGGAGGAAACAATGGACATTGTTAAAGAGGTATGTGATGAACATAAATTTGGTTGCTTATTGCATGTGTTGAAAGGGTGTTTTTTGGTAATAGCAATAGCTTTAGGCCTTCACTATGGGAGTTGAAGTGGATTTGTATTCTGATGGTTTCATGGTGATTATACTGATTATATCTGAAGTCCGTAGTTGGAAAAGTGTTTCTATAATTACTTTATGTCAATCTTGGAGTCCCATAAGGGTGCCGGCAAGTACCTGTTTCCGTGGTTGCGCGTTTGCTTGTCACCTTGTAGACGAGAGAATTTTGCTTGCTAGCTGGTTATTCGTGGGGATTGAGAATTCTGTGGTTTCACAATTTCAGGAGATGAATCTATTAGTTGAGGCAGATCTACCAGGGAACCAGCTGGATGATTATATTTCTCGATTAAATGCAATCCTTTCCCAAAAGGCTGCTGGCATCCTGCAGTTGCAGAACCAGTTAGCTCATTTTCAAAAACGTCTAAAGGAGCACAATGTTCTTGTATCTTCTGGCCACTAAAAGCTCTAATTCAGTATGCATAGAAAATTCAGATGCTATGCATATTTGCTTTGGAATGAGGTGCCGTTGTGGATCCATTAATGTGTTCAGTAATGCACCCTTAGGTGTTAATGTGGAAAGCAGATGGCTTTCAGAAGTTTGGAATAGCAACATTCACATGATGATTTTCTTCAGAAGAGTTTTTGAAGCCTTCTGTTAATCTTGTCATTGTTTATTCATTTTCCATTTGAAAAGAAACATAAAATAGATGCTTTTGCAAGGCTTTACAGCTTTGTGTTGTAAGATTATTAATTGTTGATTGATCTGCTGAGCAGAAGAGGCATTTGCTAAGTTTTGGGGGCTGAAATTTGTTTAATCTGATCCAGCCTATCATTGACGATTGGTGAAGACTGGCCAAGTCTGGTGTAATTGAGAATTGTGACTTTTGTATACAACAGCTAATATTAGTTCATTTTGGCTTAGTTCCATAAGCCAAATGGGCACTTGGAATCTACTCAATTACTTGAGAATTGTGACTTTTGTATGTTGCTATTTAACGTGGAGCTTCCGAACTTAAGCCAAATAGCCGGAATTTCCAGTTATTCAACATTGTCATAAGTCCCAACTCGACCACTTAGACTTACAGTCTAATGGAACTATTCCCTCAGTTTCACTTTATGCTAATTCATTTGACTGGGCACGGAATTTAAGAAAAGAGAATATTTTTGAACTTGTGGTATAAAATAAAGTACATATGTTTTGTGTGGCCATAAATAATTATATAAAGCTAAATTGTTTTCAAATAAGGAAAGGGGTAATTCTTTTTGGCACGGATTAAAAAGAAAATAGATTCACATAAATTGAAATAGAGGTAGTGTCCCGTACACAATAGATATGAACCCTTTTCCCACCATCTATGAATTTGTGTTTCAGAATAACAATTAAATGAGGCGCGCACACACAAAAGAAAAAAAATTAGTGTTATGGTAAATGAATTTATCACTGTAATTTAGACCGTGAGAATGTAACTTTTTGATATATTTACATACTTAGAGATAGGGGCGGACCCACATAGGGTCAAGCGGGGTCAAATCAATCCGCTTCATTGAAATTTTTTATATTTTGCGTAAGTTAAATTCTGTAAAATGAGAATATATGAGATAATTTAACCTACTTTATACAACTTCATCCGGTGGAGGAAGTGGTCTAGCGAGTTCAAGTTAACTTAGCAGTCCTGAGTTCGAAGCGGGATTGGCACTCTTTTAGTTTTATTCCTGTGTGCATCCTTAAGTGCACTAGTTTATTCCTTTAGTTTGTTTTTATTTTCTTTTATCTCTATTTTCTAATTTATATCTATTTTATTTTATATTTGATCTCCTAATGAAATCCAATAAGAATTAATCTACAGTTTATTTAACTTCAGTAGATGAAATCTTACAATATTTTTTGCTAAAATATGCAAGTGCATATCTTAAAATTATTTGTAATGTGTTAGTTCATATTAAACTAGGTTATCCTAAATTGTTTATTTTTGTTACAATTAAATTGTTAGTTCACTTTATAAGCTATCTTCTTTTATAGTTTGTACTAGTTTATTTTAAGTTATAACTCTTTATTTTTTGTTGTCCTATTATTTTTGTAAATTAATAACTTTATTTTTTTTAGAGTTTAATAAAACTCTAAAATATAAATTGTGTAAATAGAATATTTTTTTAAGTTTAAATAAAAATGTAAAACTAAGTAACTGTTAACATTTTTAGTTAAAGTAATTAGTTTTTGTTAAACGTTTTAAGTTTCATGCCCTATTTTTTTTTGAAAGAAGAACAGAATTCGGACCTCCTTTTATTATTATTTAATTATTCATTTTAAGATACCTTTGTGAACCCAAAAAAAAAAGTGGGGATAAATTACGCTTATTACAACCATCGTATTGGTTAACGTCGTTTTAAATTGAATCCGCTTGCATAAAATTTTGGGTCCGCCAATGCAAGACAGTAGAAACTAGTACTTTCAATAACAATTTCATTGTTAAAGTATTGTGGCAAATTGTAATGAAAATTTGATTGGCTCCCTATATAACACTCCTACTTTGGTACTAATTTCATTCTTTTCGAGACTGAACGTATTAGCCACTCTCAGGTGAAGTAGCGTGATGGCAGAAATGTAAATAGAGGAAAGATAAAGGGCATTCTTATTAAGGCAGTGAGAGTTAGTTACGGTACGCAGCTAGCCAGCTTCACTGACAAGTAACAAACAACATTTCCATTACCAATTATTCCATTCCCGCTCTTCGTTTCATGCTCAAAACCGCCTTCTTCTCAAAGCTATCAAAAAAATCTCGCAAGTTTCAATTTGCCATGGATTTTACACGGAAATTGAGCTTTCTAGTGTTTCTGTTGTGTATTCTCATCTCTTTGCAGAACCAAGACGACATTGATACAAATAACAATTTTTCTTCTCATGACGACAAATATTGCTCCTTATCTGATGATGAATCTCAGTATATCTTCGATATTGACTCGTTTCCGCCTCTTCCTATGTTTGCTACTACTTCTCATGTGGAGAGGAAGCTCCAACAACAAACAGGGGCTCGGGAATCCCTGAAATACGATTACTATCATCAAACTTGTCCTCAAGCTGAGCGAATCATCCGATCAAGTGTTCGAGATCTTTTCAAAAAGCGACCACAGATTGCTCCTGCTTTGTTGAGACTTGCTTTCCACGACTGCTTTGTTGAGGTCATTTTCCTTCAGTTTCCTAAGACTACTTGTATATAGTATCTTGTTCTGCTTGTGTCGTTATACATCAGTGCATTTTTTTCGTTTTTGACTAATTATGCTATTTCAACTTAACGGCGTTTGAAGTACTTTGATTGTTGAGGTCATTTTCCTAAACTACTTGTCTTCTATAATCTCTTGTTTCTGCTTTTGTTTTATACATCAGTGCATTTGAAGTATTTTTAATTAGTTCTGGTAATTCTGTTTGATTTTTATCGAGGAAGTTTATTAAATTGAGCTTTGATAATTCTCTTATTATGATTTGGAATGCTTTCCGATCAATGATAAAACAGAGGCGTTATCAGAGGTTTCTACCTTTTTTTTTTTTTTTTTTTTTTTGTGTGTGTGTGATGTGACTCAATTCTTTGGTTTAGTGGTTAACGTGACTTACTAATTCTGCGCAACTATTTTTTAAGTTCTCAGCGTGAACTCTTCTTCTCGCATGTTTATTTGTTACCGATTGTGCTTACAAATGAGCTCTTTATCGTGAGAGATTTTGTTTTCTCCTTTCCAACTCAAATAGTATAGTGAATGTCTAAGGGCGAAGCATGAACTTGGAACATGTTATCTTGGGGACAAATTCTTATTGTGCTTGTGAAGTCAAACTCAGTTGTGATGACTCATTGTTTTCTAATCAATCAATGCGAAATAATAGGGGTGTGATGCATCAGTTTTACTGGACCCTGCTGAAGGATTTCATAGCGAGAAAGAATCTCCTCCCAACGAATCATTGAAGGGCTTCGACGTAATAGATATCATTAAATCAGAGCTTGAAGAAGCTTGTCCAGGAGTTGTTTCTTGCGCTGATGCTGTTGTTTTGGCTGCTAGAGAAAGTGTTATTTTGGTAATCGCTCTATCTCTCTGTTATTTTTTTTTTTTTTTTTTTTTTTTTTTTTTTTTTTTTTTTTTTTTTTTTTTTTGTGTGTGTGTGTAACACAACTCACAAATGAAGAAACTTCATTAATTTCAGACTGGTGGCCCTTTCTACCCGCTGAAAACAGGAAGGAGAGACAGTGTGGCTTCCTTCGGAGAAATTGCAACTTTTGAGCTTCCTAGTCCTCAGGATGATCTTTCCAAGATGATTGAGTCATTCTCATCCAAAGGTTTCGACGAAAGGGAGGCAGTAAGCCTCTTAGGTATTGTATTTTTACTACTCGTAGGAATCTTAAGTTCTGTGTACTTACACAGATGAAATCTGGTGTTTATTTAGGTAGTGTTTGCTTAGAGTTATTTGCAACAGGTGCTCACAGCACTGGAGTGATCCACTGCAAATTCTTCATCAACAGGCTCTACAACTTCAGCGGGACTAATAGCTCCGACCCTACTATGAACTCGGAGTTTGTCAGTCTCTTGAGGTCCAAATGCAACACAAATCAAGCCTCTTTGATGTCGCCTGCATCAAAATCACAATCGCCATCCCAACTAGTTTCATCATCGCCTTCACCATCATCTATTATCGATGAATTAGCATCTGCACTGGTTGAGGAGCCAGCAATGAAGATGGACTACGAAGGACCAGGAGCAAATTTTGGTACACTATATTTCCGCAGTCTTCTACAAGGCAGGGGAATACTCTATGTGGATCAGCAGCTGACTGCAGGGGAAGAAACTAAAACTTGGGTCCAAGCTTATGCTTCAGATGTGTCTTTGTTTCACAAAGATTTCGGTTTGGTAATGATGAAGCTTTCCAACTTGGGAGTCCTCACTGCACCAATGGGACAGGTGCGCAAAGATTGCCGGAAAGTTTCCTGAAAAAGATCAATGGTTTGGTCACTTGTTTAGCCTATTGCAATTTTGGTTTTTGGTCCCTCTATCATTGAACTGCCTCTTCTCAGTTCCACTTACTCGTTTCTTGAAATTTCTGTCATATCATAGTGCATAGTAGTTAAGCGTACTGGTTTTGTTTGTACGAATTGGACAGGCTTAAAAGACACAAATCTGTCAGTATTAGCTTGGTCACTTCTCTTAATGGCATATTCGAGATCTCATTATGGTCAATCAGTAGGTCAGGTTGTCTCTTAAGAAAGCACATTCCAGTAAAAATATCTATTGACCAGAGTTATACTTTGAATATCATATTACACCAACAAAATAGTAAAGAAACACACACATTCCTGGATCTTTTAATTGATATGAAGTGAATAACAATTAGCAAACAGGAAGACAAGTAAACGATAGGAAATTGCATCACCACTCACAATCTCAGAGGCACACACAAAGGTATACTTGTTTGTTTTAGAGCTTGAGAGGACCAAGTGTTCGCATTGAATTGTTGAGACTGCCTGATGGTTTTGGAATTGAGAACTCGGTGTACATGTCCAAGAAAAATCTGTCAACAATGTCAACGTAAACTGGGCTGTTTAGCAAAGAGTAGTAGTGGAGCACTTCTTCTATATCTAGCTCATGATCCACGTCTTCCCTATCCATCATTTCTAATTCCTCCATCTTCTGCAGCAACCTAAGACTCCCTTTACTTGTGCTTCGGGTCAAGATCTCTCGCCCTTTCTTCTCCTCTTCCTTTCTGCTTTCTCTTTCTATGTCTTTCATACCAAACCGCACTGCAATTTTCCTCTGGCTTTCGCTACATTCTACTTCAGCAATCCCTTGAGATTTCTTTGTATTTTTGCCAGAATTCTTTCTATCTAGAATGTCATTGTGATCAAGCTGATGCCTTTGTTGATAGTAGTTCCGGTAAAAGTCATCCAACTCTGGAATGCTAGACTTTGAGATTCGTTTGCTACCGGAGAAAAAAGGATTGAAGTGACGAGCAGCTTTAGGTAGCTTGTGGTGACCTCCAAAGAGAAACGACTTGAGATTACGGGGAGTTTTGTGGAGGAAATTTTTGGTCTTCTGGATGGTTTTCTTAAGCAGCATTTGTGGCTCTATCTTATTGTACAACTCTTCCATCTGATTTTTCTATCTGCGCAGCAAGAGATACTGCAACTTGTTTGGCTTCTTTGAAGAAGTTAAACTATAAAGTAGTTTGTATTTTGTAACACGTACAAATAAATGAAAAATATAGGGGACGGACACACCTGATTTGCTCCTTGTTAGCTGAAGACAAAAGGCTAAAAGGCTATGAAACACATAGGGACATTCCTCACTTTTTTTGTTTGACTTCCATGCTTTAGTTGTTTTTTCAGATATGTTTTTTGTGTTTCTGATATCTTGAATTTTCTGACCCTACCCTCTGCACAGAAAATTTGCAAGGAGGAGGTAGAATGAGGAGAAAAGCTGAAAGCTTATTTTCAAGGAGGTAGAATGAGAAAGTTTCCTGGAATTAGAATTGCTTGTTCTGTCCACCCTTAAGAGGGAAGGAATTTAAGCGTAGGCTGAATTCCTAGGGACAGAACTTAGGTTCGGTTTCATTAAAAGCTTGAGCTGCATTCGTAGGAATAATTGAATGGCGGAATTAGGAAATGAAATCTCAATAATGATCATTATTCGACTGTCTGCTCGGAAAAGACTCATTTATAAATAAAAGGTTGAACAGTGAGTTGGGTGAATGTGCTTGATGTGATTAATACATACATAACTAAACAGTACACCTAAATTTTTTGTGAAGTTTCCCACCACTGGGACCTCAAGTAATAATAAGGGAGGCCTTAATTAACCTCTAATGCGGTAGATTTGGTAAGAGCTGTTTTGGACCCCAATCATTAAAAGATTGATACACTGTTGGTTGAAGAGGATAAGGGGCAAACAGCAGAGATGATTGAAGTGGGTGACGAGATGATGCTCAACCTCAATGCTTCAGTCTCTTTCCTACAGTTAACACTTCAACATGCTACCACTAGTATTGTCGATTTCAATAATAAATTCCTATAATCTGCTCTTACTTTATACCAAACAATCAACTCTCAATAAGCAGTTTTATATCAGACCAACGCCTAGCAGATCCAAACTCACGATATGATAGCTAAAATAGCTAGGCTCAATGTCATTTTTATCCGTACTGCACCTAGTTGAATTCAGTGACGGATTCAGAATTTTCATCAAGGGGTGTCAAAATATAAATAATTAGATATACCGAAAAGTTAAGGGAGTCAACGTATAGTAAACATACATAAAATAAAATAAAATATCTAGCAAAATAGTATAATTTTCCGGCGAAAGGCACAGGTTGAATCACAAAGTCGATGGCATAAATATTACTATAGCGCAACTGAATCAAAAAGCCAATAAACAGCAGGAGATATTAATGCATAGATACTAGGGGCATTTTTTTCAGAATTTTTAGAAGACTAAAAATAGAAGTTTAGGTCATTTTAGGTTTTCTTTCATTCCTTTGAATAAATATAACAGCTTTTAGTTCTTTTGGAAGGATTGAAGGATCTTCATCATTGTATTTGAATTCTCATACTCATCTAGTCACTATAAAACTACCTAAAACTTTCACATTATTCACGAGTTAGGTAATTGACGTGTGATACAACAAGAACAAAAGAAGAAGAAAAAAAAAAGATGTGTGCCTCTGGTAGAGAGTGTTTATAACGGAACCTGAATTAGTCGGGCCTTAAAGAAATATTAAACACTGATTGGGGAAAGAAAATAAATTCAAAAATAGCCAAATTTACAAGTGATAATTGAAAAATAGCCACAGTATCAAAAGTAATCGAAATTTAGTCACTTTTCATGTAAAGATAAATTTGAACGAAAACACGGTTCAAAATCCGAAAAATATTCCAGCATAATATAATGGAGTTCAGTATAATATACCGGTCTAGCATAATATGCTAGAAGTTCATACACAAGTGCTCCAATCTCTAGTATATTATGTTGGAACTTTCTACGTGTCGGAGTTCCAACATAATATGCTGGAAGTTCATACACAAGTGCACCAATCTCCAGTATATTATGCTGGACCGGTACGTGCTGCAGCAAAATAATGACTATTTTTCAATAACTTTGCAAACGCTAGCTATTTTTGAATTACCAGGCCGAAAACTGGCTAGCCTGTGCTATTTTTACAAGAAAAACACTATAAAATTTACAATAATGATTATGATAAAATGTAAAATTTATGATAAAACTACCAAAGATAAGATTGAAACGAAAAATATACTATAATTTATGTAAACTAATGAATGCATATCTCATTAGTTAAACGTGTTTGTCATTAATCCTAAATTCTTTTTTAAAAAATGGATATCATAATGATTACGTGTTACTAAGTTTCCCAGGCCAATAATAGAAGAGGTCGAGTGGGCTACATAAGATTAATTTTAGCCCAAAACCTTTTCGGCCCATTTGAAGAACCCTAAAGCCCTATCTCAACCACCAAGTATAAACACTGCAATTATCGCCGCACTTCATCTTTCTTAGTCGATCAGGAGGAGGACGCTAGGGTTTCTGCAACTGCACTGCAATGGTAAGTGAAAATCCATTTCTTTTCTTCCCCTCTATTACATATTACGCGTGCAAAGGGTGACGATGCGAAATTGAATGTGGATTTTGTATTATAATAGGGGAAGGGAACAGGGAGTTTCGGTAAGAGGAGGAACAAGACTCACACACTATGTGTGAGGTGCGGTCGCCGCAGTTTCCATCTCCAGAAGAGCCGTTGTTCTGCTTGTGCTTATCCTGCTGCCCGTTTGAGGAAATGTAATTGCTCTTTTTCTTCGCCTATTTCCCCATCATTTGTATTGCATAAAACGCAATGAAATCCTTATACTAGGTTTGATATATAGATAACTGGAGCGAGAAGGCACTCCGCAGAAAGACAACTGGTACTGGACGCATGAGGTACCTTCGCAATGTTCCTCGCAGATTCAAGACCGGTTTCAGAGAAGGTACACGACGTTTTATGGCTTGCCATTGTTTCTGATCTGAGTTTCTGCATTTTCCGTGATCGACGTATCAATTATAGTTTTAGAGCTTTTAGGTTAGAGTTTGCTAATTGAGCTAGATATATTATGCTCTCCGCGCCCAATTGTTTTTGCTGAAAGTACCAATAGTATCTAATAATTTGTGCAGTTTAGGCTCTGAATCACCTGTATTAATAAGTATGCAATGTTTGTCCAGGGACTGAAGCTGCACCAAGGAAGAAGGCTGCAGCAGTTTCTGCTTGAGGCCCTTTGAGAGGGTTATTGAGGGAGGGTACTTTTTATAACATTAGCATCATTTTGGTTATTTTCTGGATTTGATGCCCAATCAAAGTTAGAAGTGCTTAAATTTTGGAAATGTGTTGTTGAAATTGGCATTTTGGCATTAAGGGATTTTATAGGCCGTTTTCAATTTTTGGTTGCTCCGAAGTCTGAACTCCCTTTCCATGTCTTAAGTTTTTTTGAATTTGAAGTTTGAGGTTTTGTTTACCCCACCTATGCCCCCGGTATTCGTTATGCCCCCGGTATTCGTATCTTTTATTGCTTGTTGCTTTTAAACCAAATGCGATGAAAATCTTTCTGACTTGTTCATGTAGTCTTAACTGACCTGCGTTTGCTAGTAGGACAGTTTTATGATGGATTATTCATCATTTGGTTGGCGAATGCATATGCGATGTGCATATTCATATAGTAGGTAGATGTCATTTCTAATGGAAGTAAAAGTTGGCGAAGCCTTGAATTTAATGGTTTACTAAGGAAATAAAATGCTTCCTTGTTGACTTCAGATTGTGGTCAATGAAGTGATTACTAATGAAGTTAGTGAAATCATGCGAGTCAACTTCAAATCACATAGGAGATAAAAATTACTTTGGTTGCTTAATCTTTGGTAGACAAAGCTACTGGTACAAGATTTAGTAGTTCGGCTGCGTTTATGCTAGTTGAAGGTAACAAGTACTTGGTGTAATTGTTGCGCTAGCTGGTGTTGGATTCCACTGTATCCAACAGAATGCTGTTGTATTCTGGCAAATCAATGAACGGGAGTGGCCTTCTGTAGGTTTTCTGAAAGTTTTATTTGGGCCATGCTTGCTGATTTATTAGTAGGAACACTCAGTTTGTTTGGGGCTTTGCTTGCCGATTTACTATTAGGAATATTCGTTGTTTAGGAGCTTTGGCATTTAACGCAGTCGTTTATCCATTCTCAGTGCCCAGTGGTGTTCAATTGCTGGTTACCGTGCTTCTGCTCTGATTGATAACCTTGGAGAATAGGAATGAGCGTATTATGAATTAATGGCCTGTCGTTTAAATACTACATATTTGAAAACATTGATCTTCTATAGGAGTAAAGTTCGCAATGAACTTGGACACTGATTGTGAGGCAGAACAAACAAACAGTAAAATACTGTGTTGTGGAGTAATTGCATATCAACTTTACTGATAAATATCTTGTATATTTATACCCACCTCAAAGATTTACAAGGGTATCTCCAATGTTGGTCAAATGTAGTTTACACAAGTCTTCCCACAAAAATATTTCAAAAAAAAAATAATCTAATTTACATGTTCTCCGGGGAGTTGATTCTAGCTTTTAACATTTGTGTTGTCTAAGAAAAATTATCCAGAACAAAATTTTGCGCACAAGTGAGCGCACAAGCCACGTAAGCAAAAATTGATTTTCTCAAGAAGGCCAAGGTAGAGAAAAATACTAAAACGGAAGTTGATATAATTTCCTTTAAAAGATGGACAAATTGTCTGAAAAACAGACGCACTAATCTATTTAGAGCTCTCCGAACTTCGACTTCTCCTTATGCAATGTACTGAACACGCAATCCAGCTCCGGAAAAGCGGACAACAGTATCAGCTCAACAAGATCAAGGACTAACTGTTTTAGACACACAGATGACTGTAAAAGGAACAGCGCCTCAGTCAGTAATTCTTCAGGAAAGGTGTCTGTCTAGAACAAACCAATACAAGATGAAGATACGAAATATTATCATATTTAAAGCAGATTCTAAAGACCCTGACTATATTACCTGGATGAAGTAATAAAGATCCTTTGCACATTGTTCATATTCCTTGCGACCAACAAGTCCAACAACAGCAGCAGGTGCTTTTTCTGTAAAAAGTTATCAGAGTAAATTATGGCAAACTAGGAAAAAGTATTATGGATTTTCATGAATGTTGAAATGGTCAATAACCAGGGGCGCATGTTTCTCGGGTGCCCTACCAATCATTAGCTCATATACAAGGTTTGCACGTTGTTCTGCTTCCTTCTGCTGCATCTCATCCAGTTTCTGGATATCCTCTACCGTTGGTGATGATGATGGAGTGGGGGGTTGGTTGTGAGGAGAATTAAGAGATGGACTGGTAGATGGGGTAGGGCGTTGTCGTCTTGGATGCTTTGTTATGAATATTCCGTCAGGCCATAGAATCTACATGGAGCACAAAGAATGAGAACACTTGATCCAATATCAATAAAATGTTAATGACAGAATCTTGGGTACCATCAGTCATCTGAAGCTACATTTCAGCCTTTTAAGAAAAAACATACACCTCTGTCATCTAAATGCACATATATAAGACACAACAATACTTACTACTATAACTTTTTCTCTTAAAGCAAGCTAACGAGGGTAGTTTTTACCCAATTCCCACTCACAAAAAAGGAAAGCATACATAAGAACCAAAAAATAACAAGAGGACAGAGCATTGTTTGAACCAACAAATCTTGGAAAACAGTACTATAATATAGGACGTATTAACAGATTAAATCACAACAATTAGGAATGCAAATTACAACAACAACAACCCAGTATAATCCCACTAGTGGGGTATGGGGAGGGTAGTGTGTACGCAGACCTTACCCCTACCATAAAGTAGAGAGGCTGTTTCCAATAGAAACTCGGCATCCTTCCCTCCAAGAACTCCCCACCTTGCTCTTGGGGTGACTCGAACTCACAACCTCTTGGTTGGAAGTGGAGGTTGCTTACCATCAGAGCAACCCCTCTTGTCATCAAATGCAAATTGAATTGTTGTTATCACCGTGATAAGAAAAAACAACTAAATTGCGACACTTGCCTGCTCAACACGTCTTATGCCTGCAGCAACTACTGAACCCCTGCGCAGACGCTGGATTTTCTCAATTAGCCAGTCATCAAATGCATCACCCATTCCCAGTTGCAAAACCTGTTTCGCCACCCAGAATGCCTTTCTCCTGGAAGGCATCCGAAGAAGTTTATAACAGAAATGAGTAATCAATCAGGTCCAAGAGCAAAACAGTTGGAAAATAATGATACCTGATCCACCCACCATCTTGGAGCTGAAAAATGACGTCAACCAGGTCTAGAACAGGTGCACTTACATTCGGAGGCACCCACTACAGTGAAACCAATAAAATAAAATAAATAAGGTTCGTAACCATCTTAGTTCATTGAAAGGCTAAAGCTACATGTAATTTCTTAAGAGAAAACCAAATGAAAGCATCATAAGAAAAAAAAAGGTAACTTGCATATCTTTTAACCTCACTAACTCAAGCTGATCATTGCGAATCTATTTCTTCCCAGGTGTCCAATGGCAAAAGAACCTATTAGCCTAAAACTTAAGACAAGTTGGTAGCAGCTACCTCTACGGGAAGGGAGGAATCAACAGGAGCATCAATAAAGGATTCGGATGATGCATGTGAGACACGTGGATTAGTTTCAACTGATTTTAGCGTCGTTTCCATGGTTGGGATTGAAACTTTATTTGTTTGTACCACATTGTCGGAGTCACTACTTGAATCCTCAAAAGTTTCTTTGATGGGTCTTTTTGGAGGGGACAGTGCGACATATTTTTTCCCAAATCTTGATTTATCCACCACAGGTTGATGCATCATGATTCGCTCCTTTCTTTCAGCATAATGCTCTCCCGTGGAGGATATGATATCAGTTCTTTGGCCAATCCTGGGCAGAGGTTCTTTACTTACGCGGCATACGCTATCATCCAGGTCAACTGAAAGAATAACAAGAACCATTTACGATTAACATAAAAATCGAAACCCAACCTTCTGCCCCTTAGCCATGCCAAGTCAGTTACTCACCTGGTAATGTTTCGATTATGGACAAGGAATTTGAAAAGCTGTATGTCTGCAAAAACAATGTACAAGATCAACGCTCTTTGTTCAAAAGATGCATCTAAGCTCAAAAAATAAAAAATCAGCAATCTTTTAACCTGTGAATCAATACTGAGGAAGTCCCAAACCTCAATGGAGTTGGAAACGGTTGGGAGCTGCAGCAGTTTCTGTGACAAAAAAAGAAAGAGTCAAATAAAAATTAAAGGTGACATCAGAAAAAATATAAATAAATAAATTGAACTGCAGAGAAAAAGTGAACAAGATAGTTTAGAGGAATATATAAAAATCAGTTTCATGAAATGTTTTTCTAGTCGAAGCTGCCCATGAAATCCCTATATCACCAGAACTAGTTATACTTGATCAACTTCAGGAAGCGAGAAGAAACTTCGCAGCAAATCACGGAGTCAATAACAATTATAGGATTAAGACTAAGATAAACTGCTGTGATTTTTTTTTTTTAGAGAAGATAAAATATACGATAATGAGAAGGAAAACAGTATGAGATAAGAACTTAAGCACATTTTTGTGACATCAAAGCAAACTCTTATAACATGAAATTACTGTGGTATAGATCACAAAGTACTAGTTGAAAAACACTTCTAGATGCTATCTGTTAGAGCACCACCTTCAGATATGTGTTAAGGAATTTGCATCGTTCTCGAATGACTGGAACATCCAGACCTGTGGAGAGGAAATGCTTGGGTGGCAAATGAAGATTGTAGTCATGATACTCCTTAAGACGTCTGTGGAGCTCCTCAAAATGACGAAACCTGTCAGAAGCAGCAAACAGAACAAATTAAGACACTGGATACTGTTGAGATATATTCTGGATAAAGAGGTGTTTGATATTCACAATAACGATAAAAGCAGAAAGTTACATCAAGAGACCTTCTTTTGATAGACCAACTATGATTGTTTACATCTGTAACAGATAAGGAATAAACAGCAAAAGTTTTTGAGCCACATTTTACGATATTGGCACTCAAGACCTGCAACAGAAGAAAGGATAGCATCTGTGGATGTCCAACTCTGTGAAAGTAATTCATAAAGTGAAGTTACATGTAAAACAAGAATGGCAATCACTGCTGTACCTCGCATGTTAACTTCAAAAAGGAATCAGCAATTATAGAACCTTTCGCAGAATTAGCACCCATTTTGTGGTTTTCGAGAATGCTGGTTGACAAAGATGATGATGATGCATTCGTGCCATTTGAAATTCTACCAGATATTTCTGTATCAGAGTCATCACTCGGACCTTCTGGTTTCTCGTTATCTTTAGAGTTTAATATATCATTTCCATCCCCTAGTAAGAAGCTGGATCTTTGTATCTCTTGCCATACATGCTCTGTTTGGCTATTCACTCTAGATTTTTTCCTCGCAG